TACAAAACAAGCAGGTGTTAAAGTTTTCCTCTGGCCCTGTGTGGTTTCTGCTGGGAGGTTGGCGTAGAGCAGGGTTCTTCAAATCTGGCCCTTGATTCCAAATCCAGGCCTTGTTTTCAGTTCTCACAGGTAGTTAGTTTAATAATGACTGATTCTGATTGGTCAGAGGCTACACACCTGGCTCACAGGTAAAGGAAGGCTGGAAAACCGGCAGTGCTCAGACCTCGAGGACCGTGATTTGAATAATAGGGGCGTAGAGTGAAAGACGACCTAACCTACCCTAACCTCAGCAGCCCTGCTCAGCATGCATGTGTATGTCTGTTGTTGCACTTCTGGAAACCAGCAAGCTCCTCTTTCCACTGTTGGTATAGGGTGTTCCAGAGGACCTGCTCTTCTTCTACCAGAGTCTTCGTCAGGGCGGCGGAGTGTGCCGTGTGGACCGCTGCCTGCTGGTGTATAGCTACCACGAGCAAGCGGCCAGCCAGTCTGTGGTAGAGTAAGTGGGTCTCTGCTGTCTCCTGGCCTGGGCAGCCCTCCCTCAATCTCAGGGTCTGCCTGTGGAGAGCAGCCAATGGGGGGGGGCATAAAGTGGCAAGTCTGTAGGGGTTTTTGTGAGTGGTAGGAGGGAATGGGAATGGTGTGATAAGCTCCATTTTGGCTTTTTCCAATGAAAGGCGCAGATTCCATGGTACTGTTGTGTGGGGAGGGGGCTGTTTTCATTCCATTGGGGTTTGGATCATCCAGAAGCATGGAAGACTAGCCTGCTGTCACATGATCATTTGCATAACAAAACAGGATGTTGACTGTTTGGTGTAGAGATCCAACAGCGAATACTTAATGGCCAAGAAATAGTGGAGTGGGGAGGAGTATTCTGTGTGCCCTGTGAGAGGCAGTCTGCACACCACGTGTGCTCTGTTTGCACTCTGATGGGTGGTCTGCACACCATGCATGCCCTGCGTGCCTTCTGAGGGGTGGTCTGCACTGCCCATGTGCTCTGCCTGCCCTCTAAATGGTGGTTTGTGCTGCCTATGTGCTCTGCCATCCTCTAAGGGGTGGTCTGCCTTTGCATGTGTGTACATTCCCCACAGGCTTGTGTGCTGCCCTCTGCTTTGTTAAATAATGCCCCTGATGTCCCCCCATGACTGAGAGCTGCAGAGCTGGCTGGGAGGGGGCCCACATTCCCCAAACAGCTGCCATGTGAGACCCCCCACCACACGCGTGCCTGTCAGGATGCATGCTGTCCTTCCTATAAGCATGGGTTCTGCCACTGGCCCCTTTTTCCTGTTTTTCCTGTTGTCTCTCTCAGAGAGACTATCTGGAAGCATCGCGTGATGTTCCTGCAGGAGCGAGTTCTAAGCCAATGGGACGCCTTCACCATCTGGAATGCTGGGAAACAAGGTCGACGGCTGTACCGCAGCCTGAGCCCAACCAATCAGAAGAAGGTCTGCTTTCACATCTGCTAGTTATCCTCCCTTTGTTTATGGTCCCTGGCTACAGAAATTGAATAGAATATGACTGGAATGATGAAAATGTGCTGTAAACATATAGCCTTTTATGCAGAGAAGCAGGCGAAGCAGTGTTACCTTCCTCTGTGTTATACTGTCTCGTTTTGATTTTAAAGAGGCAAAGATAAGACCGACCAATGGATGACCATGTTTTTGGTGGGGGGTTGATGTGTCTGCATGGTGAATGCATGGAGGAGTGCATTGAGAGGGATCCAGCCATAAGCCCAGAGCAGCTGCAGAATCTGTGAGAGTCAAGGACGACCCTCTTTCCAATCTCAAGCGAGTCCTTTAGTCGACCTGTCACTTTCTGCTGCTGTGTTCTCAGGTACGGGCCTTTTGTGATGTTGACCACAAGAAGATAAGAAAAGGCTTTTACACTTACGAGGAGTCTGAGGTAGGTCCTTGGTTGTGTCATGCCCTCACTGGAACTGCATGCTCATTGGGCCTCCAGGCTGACAAACCTTCTCTCTCTGCCCTTTATTCATAAAAAGATTTACCCCAGGGGGATTTACCTGCTGTTGGCTCTAGAGCTGGGTCATATGGCCTAAAAATAAAATTTCCGTTTTTTTTCACAATAAATCCGATTTCCGATTTTAATCGATTTTCCCCTCCCCTACTCACAATCAAACTACAGATGACAAATAAATGGTTCAAAACAAGTTTTAACTTTTTTTATTTTATAGTTAAAGTGCAATCTGACAAGCCAAAAAAGACGCTTGTAAGTGAGATGGCAGACCATGCCGTTGTAAACACTTTTAGAAACTTGTAAAAACTTTTAGCATGTTAATGAGTCCCGGCTTTTCCACAGTATGTATGGGCAGCATGTCTTTTGCAATATACATGGCGACAGCGTTTGTTATCGCCTTCCATCCTGCCCATTTCTTATCATAACTGGTATTATGGGACATGGGACAGGTATTTTAGGAACTGTAGCGACCTGGATTGATAACTGGTTAACAGATAGGAAGCAGCGAGTAGTTATAAGAGGCTCAATGTCACAGTGGGCCTGCGTTCATAGTGGGGTACCGCAGGGTTCAATTTTAGGACCACTTTTGTTCCTAATTTACATAAATGATATAAACACCAATATATACAGTAAACTGGTGAAATTTGCATATGACACCAAGGTGGGTGGTGTAGCAGATACTGAACTAGCGGCTCAGCAGCTACAGTGGGATCTTGAATTAATTAGTGACTGGGCCGATACCTGGCAGTTGAAATTTAACATAGACAAATGTAAGG